TTTTATTGTTTTGAGGACAAAAAAGATCACTCTTATGTGGAAGAACATACACTAAACAAAATAGAGTTCAAGCACACAACCATCAAACAACTACTACTAGGTCAATAGAGTGTTTTACAATTTTATTTTTGCAAAGAGAAAGAAGAAAAAATGCAAGCATTGACTCTAACTTTGCTCCACTTAACATAAAACTAAGTGAAAAAATATTTTCAAATTGCTATCAGAATCTGATGCAATGTGATTACTTAAAAATGTGGAGGGGCCAGCACTATGGCTCACTTGGTTAATCCTCTGCCTGTGGTGCTGGCATCCCATATGAGCACTGGGTTCTAGTCCCAGCTGCTCCTCTTCCAGTCCAGCTCTCTGCTGTGGTCCGGGAGGGCAGTGTAGGATGGCCCAAGTGCTTGGGCTCCTGCACCCACATGGGAGACCAGGAAGAAGCACCTGGCTCCTGGCTTCGGACTGGCGCAGCACTGGCCGTAGCAGCCATTGGGGAGGTGAACCAATGGAAGGAAGGCCTTTCTCTCTGTTTCTCTCTCTCACTGTCTATAACTCTACCTGTCAAATAAATAAATAAATAAAAGAATGTGGAAAGCAGACAACATATATCCTTCCAATTATTTTCATCACTGTTTCTCCTCTTACACTTTAACTTTACTGAATCCTTTCCCTACCACGAACAAGTGCTTTCTTCCCATACTAACCCTTGCTTATTTTTATATATCAGTTTAGATATCCTCCTTTCAGACCTTGCCTGAAACCTCATCCTTCTGGTTTACCCTGGTACCAGCTCCCAAACCACTTTGACTATAGCCCTCTCTGGGCACCTGGCCCAGTTACACCTCTGTCTACCACAAACCTGGAGAGCCCCAATAGCAAACTTTGTAAATTGTATCCTTTTCTGAAAAGCAGAAAGATTCAGGAGAACAGATTTATTTCCTTACACACTACGCTCACTCTCACACATGCATATGGTTCATTAGCTCACTCTTACAGACACAGCCACACACGTAAGCAATTGGTGTCACATTCCATAGACTGAGGTACACTTTCACACTCATTCAGAGTATAAAAATGCAATAATTGTATATAATTACCAAACCTCTGTCAAAACCTCTGAAGAGGCAGGATTTGAAGCCAACAACTCTAAATCAACGTCTTATGATTCCTCCAGCTTCCTTTAACATGAATGGAAATAACTACATTCTCCCTGTAAGCTGGAAACCAGAGATATGAAGGGTTTCATACCAATCCACTGTGAGAATCATCAAATATTTGCTAAACAAAAGCCAACCGAACAACTCAGAGAGCACATTACTAAGAATACACACTCAAGCAAACCCAGAACCCAAAAATAGCCCTTGTATTTACCAGATGGTCTTCTCAGCTTACAACTTCTACCAGCAGCATAAAATTAAATTTAAGTACAGTCACATGACATTATTGATATTTCAGTCGATGAGAGACCACATATATAATTGTGGTCCCCTAAGATCATAATGTAGTCTAGGTGTGTAGAAGGCTATACCACTTGTTTTTTTAAGGACACTCTTATGTTAGCACGACAAAAACACCTAGCAATGTGTTTCTCAGGTCTCTGTCATTACATGGCCTGTGATTTTATATGAAAATAAAGATCCACATTTCTAAAAAGCAGGTGATTTTTCGTCAAACACAGTGCTTAATGTAATTGTTAAGATGTAGGCAACTTAAACATTCAATATTTAAACTGCCTTTTCCAAGCTAACTCCTAGACTTTCTTTTCCAATGGTGACTGTATCATAAATCAGCTAAAGAATGAATATTTCAAATATGAATTTCCTTAAATGTTAACCAGTCAATAGTTCAATTTCAGCAAAACTATTTTACTAGTAATGTTTGTTTTTGTAGCCTTTTAAGTGTTCTATTACATTTAACCCTTAAAATTTCAATTTTAAAATTAGTAGAGAATAATAAACAATTGTCTCTCTCACTGTCCACTCTGCCTGTCAAAAAAAAAAAAAAAAAGAAAGAAAATAAACAATTGAGGTCATGTATTGCTTATGTGTTCCATTGTGAAGAAAACAGACTTAAAACAATGTAATAAAACCTAGAAACCGTTCATTAATTTGTCTACAAGTTAAGATATCTATGAAAAGAAATCTTATTACAAGTGAATCAACTGTTTAACTCTGTCATTTAATCTTCAAATGTGACTTTGGTAACACAAGAGGGTACTCCAAAGTTCATGAAAGCATGAATTAAAATATGTTTATTTTGGTGCAGAAAAACACTTGAAATCCATGCAGAGAACATTATTTAGTATACATCTTCATTTCTACTCTTCCTTCAATGAAAAATATGTATCTCTATCTTTCATAGTTTTACCTCAGAAGTGATTATAAGGAATTACTGAGTGCTTTAAATATACAAATTTAGATTTTCAGGTTATTGAAATTACAAAAAAAAGTCATCAGGAAAAGAAGAAGAGGGAGGAGGAGGAGGAGGGGAAGGAGGAGGGGGAGGAGGAGGGGGAGGAGGAGGAGAAGGAGAAGGAGGAGGAGCACTCCAATTTGAGATGCCAACATTGCAGGTGGCAGCTTAGCTGCTATGCCACAATGCTGTCCCCTGATTGTCTAATTTATAAATTAATCTGTAGCATGGGTATGAATGTATAGGAAAAAACATAGTGTATATGAGGTTCGGTATTATCCGTGGCTTCAGGAATCCACTAGACAGCTTGGAATGCATATCTGGTGAATACAAAGGCATTAATGCACATTTACTACATCATTCAGCAGGCATTAGTCAAAGTTATTTCCTTCTCTCTTCAAATTTTTTTTTATTTCAAAAGGGGGAATGTGCATAGAGTCATGCCATGAAGAACAAGGGAAGAAAACCCACAGAAAAGGTGAAAATATCTGCAAACTATATGTCTATAGTGGATCAGAATATGGAACAAGAGAGAGTTATTATAAATCAATTGTAGAAAAAATTAAAACAGAGCACTTGAATAGACATTTCTCCAAAGTGGATAAATAAACACCCAATAATACACGAAATACTTGACATATTAGTCACCAAGGAAATGCAAACCAAAGTCACTTAGAGACACGCTTTCACAACTACTAGGATGGCTATACTAAAAAAAAAAAGGCAGACAAAACAACTGTTAGTGAGGATGTAGAGAGATGGGAACTCTTTTCCATTATTGGTGGAAATGTAAATACCGACAGTTGGAAAGTAGGTTGGCACTTTCACAAAATGTGCAATACAGGGCTACCACACAATCTACCAATTTCGTTCTTAGTATAACCTAAGAAAAATGAAAACATATGTTGATGGGGATGGCGCTGTGGTGCAGCAGATAAAGCCACAGCCTGCAGTGCCAGCATCCCATATGGGCACTGGTTCTAGGTCCTGCCTGCTCCATTTCTGATCCAGCTCTCTGCTTTGGCCTGGGAAAGCAGATGGTCCAAGTCCTTGGGCCCCTGCACCCACGTGGGAGACCTGGAGGAAACTCCTGGCTCCTGACTTTGGATCAGTGCAGCTCTGGACATTGAGGTCAACTAACCAGCAGATGGAAGGCCTCCCTCTCTCTGCCTCTCTGTCTCTCTCTATGTATGTAACTCTGACTTTCAAATAAATAAATCGATCTTAAGAAAGAAAACATATGTTGACACAAGAATTTGATATGAATGTTCACAGCAGCATTACTCATAGTTATCTAAAATGTGGAAATAACCTAAATGTCCAGCAACTGATGAATGGATAAGCTGTGGTATATCTCTACAGTGGGAAAGTTACTTGGCAATTGAAAGACACTATTACAAACTCCAATGAATGAACTTCAAAAATCTACAGGCTAAGAGAAAAAAGCAGTTACTACAAACCACATGTTGCATGATTCAATTTACTTGAAGTGCTAGAATAGGCAAATCTACAGAAACAGTAATAGATTAGGAGTGCCCTGGAGCTAAGGGTGGGAAGGATGGGGAGTGGCTGCCTAAGAGTCTTCTATTTGGGGTGACAAAATTTCTAAAATTACTTTATGTGATGGTTGCAAAACTGCAAATATACTGAAACAGGAAGCTACAATTTAAAGGTGGATTTATGATGTGAAGATTTTGTCTCAGTGAAGCTGCTTAAAAAGAGGAAAAGTATCAATAACACAACTATTTCTTGGTGCCACTGAAGACTGAATAGGTAAGAGCATGCTCAGACTGTTTATCCCTTTAACAAATCGTTTCTGGACTTCAAACTAAAACTAAAGACATGAAAATAGTCATTGAAACAACCGAGTTCCAACAGAAGGCCACTGAAAAACGTGCATTTTTAGGAAAATGTGTCTACGAAAGAGATACCACAGAACACAGATCTGAGCAAAGTCTTCAGCAAGCAACAGACAAATGTCTTTCAAGGCCACTACAGGTCCAGTTAAAGCTGACCTGTAAAAGCAGCACCGTTTCCAAGTGCATGAGCATCTTAAACTGATAGATCTTAAAGTCAGCCCTCGCATGATTAACAAGCATCTGAAAGCACTATCAGTAATCCGCAGAGAGGCTAAAGGAGTGAGGGCCAGTTCCGTGGCACGTGGGGATCGCGGTCCTGATCTTTACCGCGCGGCTCCCTTTGGGAGACCCTTTCTGCTTTGGGGTGGTGTTCAGGGGCCGAGCACCACAGCACACGTGCCCAGCGCGCTAGCTGGCCTCTCCTAAGTACTCAGCTGTCCTGCAGCACACAAGGGAGCAAGGAGGGTGGTCCCCGACTCGAGGGAGTCACAGAACGCAGGTACTAGGCGCGTGGGAGCGGCAAAGCAAATCGTGTGGAGCTAAACCCATCCCAGGCACATTCAAGTCAGAGGCGGTCTACGCTGCGGTTCCCCGTCTCGCGCGGGGACGGCCACGCCGCGAACGTCCCCGGCGCTGGCCGCAGGTTCCACCACGTCCCCCGGGGGCTCAGCGCTGGGGACGGCGGAGTCCACGCGCGCAGCCCCGCCCTCCCGCCGGCGGGCTCCTTACCTTCCTCCTGCACCATCCCCAGGAGGTTCGGGTCACCCATCTTCGCTAGCTCCTTCATGACGCTGAGGCCGGAGAGGCAGCTCCCAACCGGCCGCTGCGACAGGCGACGAGAAGGCGTGGGGCAGGTACTGAATCTGATTGCCGGCTGCCGGAACTGCGCGTCCGACACCCGGACCTTGAAGATGTCGGGACTCTCCCTGCAGGGCGAGGACTTGTCCTCCTCCACAGACTCCACGAATCCCGTGCTCTGCAGCCAGTTGGACTTCGTCTCCAGCTGGTACTTCCACTCGACCTTGCCCCCCTGCACCTGCCCCGCGCCCTTGGGCCTGCGCTTCGATTTCTTCTGCCGGTAGCGCTCCCTGCCCCTTTCCCAGTAGGCCTCCAGTACCCGTCCCGGAGCTTGCCCTGCTTCTTCTCCCCCTGGCAGCGGCCGGCCCGGGCTCTTTCCACTACTGACCTCCCGTTGCGGGCCTTTCCCGAGCGCTCCTTCCCTCTCTCCTCCGCCCCTCTGCCCGCCTCCAGTCCTCCTGGGCCGCCGGCGCCCACCCTCGCGGACCGCCGTCTCCCCCGCCCCTCGGCGACCCGGGCTCTACGCCCGCCGCCTCCTCTCCGCTGGGGCCGTCGGAGCTCGCCGACTCCGGTCCGCCGCCTCCGGAGCCACCCCGAGGCCCGCCTCCCGTCCGCTCCTCCGGGGCGGCCCCCGCGGGACCCGCCGCCTCCCGGCTCCCCTGACCGGCCACCTCAGTTCTCAACAGGCTCCGCCACTCCCATTCCTCCAGGTCGACCCTGGGCCAGGACTCGGTGCTCACTGGGGCTTCCGCCCCCCTACCCTCTGAACCCTCCTCTTCCTCCTCCTCAGAAACCCGGCTGGCTGGGTCCTTACCCATCGCTAGGCTCCAGCTCACCGCGAGTGCCCCTCGGAGAGAACCCCTCCCGCTTCGGGAGTTACTTTTTGTCGGGGGAGGAAAAAGTTCCCCGCCCTTAAAGCGCCCCCTCCCCCTTTGAGGCGGGCTCGTGGCCGCCGGGGTCTCCGAGGTTCCGACAACCCCTCCCCGCCCTCGGGCCCCTGGGCGCTACCGGCTTCCTTGACAAAGGACAAGCTCTCTTCTACAGGTGAGGAAAGGTCACACCTGTGCCCCGATTTCCAAGTCAGCCTCTGCCAGCTTTAAAGTTGGAGCGTGTTGGGCAAGTTCCATCAGCTGCAGTTTTCCAGGTCGTCCAGTGACAACAGCACTCACCTCCTGGAGGATGGTGTTGAGGAGCACGCTACAAGGCTTGGCATATGGAGTGTTAACGCTTTCCTCCACTCCTAAAGGAGCCCGTGCTGCTTTGGGTCTCCACAACTCCAACCTGGAGCAGGGTGCGCGGTCCGAGGTAGCGGTCTGCGCCCACAGCCTTGAGAGTGTTGAGCAGGGAGTGGCTGAAGTGAGGTGCCCAGAGACCATCACCTTTCCTCATCGCCCTGCTCCTACTTGTTTCTTTTCTATTCTATTTACTTTGTATACTGAATCAGCTTTTATAGATGAGGAGACAGGTTAGGGAGAAGTGTCTTCTGTATGGTCATGGTTAACTGAGGAACTGGAAATCACTTTTTTTGTTTCTATACCGTGATATCTCTAACTTAAATATCAGGAATATATCAATTCTGGCCAAGAGGTTGGAGACTATAAGCAGTTTCTTACTCGATGTAGTTTGGAATTGTTTTTTACAGGTGTAACTATATTTAAGTTAATGCACAATAGAGTCCATATAATTACTATAAGTGGATTCAAGGCTGGTTTCCTCAATCCATCAACACAAAATTATTTTTTAAAAAAAATTCTCATTTTTTCAACCCCTTCTTACACACAAAAGCAAATGTCTACCTAGCTACCTTAAAAGGAAGACATTACGTGTTGATTTGTTCAAAATTCAATGGAATATTTTGACGCTGAGGGGGCTTATATTTTATCTGCTTCTTCTACACTTTAACAAAGTGGAAAACCAGTTGGTTCTTTGGATAGAAGTCTGTATCTTTCCACCACTTTTTGCTTCTTGAGGAATATTTTCTGTGTTTGTATCATGAAGTAGTTCATGCTTGCGTTCCGTCATAATTTTAGGATCTGTCCATTCCTTCATTGTTACTCCCTGCCTCTTTGCACAGAAGCGTCACCATACATATCCAGAATTGTGTTCTGAATAACGAAATCCTGTCGTTTCATTAAATTGAACAGAGTCAAATACTATTTTGGGGCCCCAAAGTCATTTTTTATTTTAGCCCTTCAAACTATTTGAGCCTTCTTTGAATTATTACAAGCACCTGATAGGACTTTCTTTTTAAAGATTTGTTTTATTTATTTGAAAAGACAGAGTTACAGAAAGGAGGTAGAGACAGAGAGAGAGGTCTTCCATCTGCTGGTTCACGCCACAGATGGCTGCAATGGCCGGAACTGTGCCGATCCAGAGCCAGAGCTTCTTCTGGGTCTCCCACGTGGGTGCAGGGGCCCTAGGACTTGGGGCCTCTTCTACTGCTTTTCCCGGCCACAACAGAGAGCTGGATCAGAAAGTGGAGCAGCCAGGACTAGAAACCGTTGCCGCATGTGGGATGCCAGCACGTCAGGCCAGGATGTTAGCCGCTGTGCCATGATGCAGGCCCCTGATAGCCTTTTTTGACTTACCTTTTGTCAAAGACAAAGACTTACTTTGTGTCTTATACTAAGCATAGCATGCAAAAAATACTTCAGTGATTACACACAGTCATAAAGATAAAAATGGCAATATTTTAGAAAATAAACTGTGGACTGCAGCTTCAAATACTTGCTTGCTGACTCCTCTATGTAAGATATGGAATTTGTTATAGGAAGACCATTTAGGGCTGTCACAATATAACATGTGGGGAAAAGTCTGAGCTGTATGGTAGTGAAATATATGCACTGAACAACATCTGCATGTGTTTTTTTTTTAATTATAGCAGCCTGATATAATCAGTATACTTAACTCACTGTGAAGAGCTTTATTTATGAGCTAAATTCTGGAAGCCAGAAAAAGGCATCTTTCTAGTTAATACTGTCTCTCCTGGATTTAAAAAATATGGCACCTCCTTTCTGTGGTCTGGATCAGTTTCCTTTCTCAGTTTCTCTACATATCATCAAAACTTTAACCACTAGGTAGAGATTCTTTCTTTGTGACTACTTGTCATTTCATTCATCTGTTTTACCTGTAAACTTGTCACTTATATCCCAGATATTTTCAACATCACTGTACCCACGTTCTGAACAGTATATGCTAATGTATGGGCTTTGTACTAGGAGTCAGAAAACCTGCATTCTATTCTTGTGTCTGTTGCCTAATAAGGTAGGCAGCACAATAACCATAGATAGGTACTTGGCTTCTTTGACCCCAGATCCCTTCTCTGTGAATATTACTATCTGACTTGTTCCAGCCATCTCCTCAAGTTGTTGTAAAATTCAAATAATCATTTGCATTGGGGACCAGCATCATGGCACAGTGAGTTAAGCATCACCTGCAACCCTGGTATCCCATATGAACACTAATTCGAATTCTGCTGCTCCACTTCCAATCTAACTCCCAGTTAATGTGCCTGAGAAAGCATCATAAATGGTCTGAGAAATTGGGTCCCTGTCATCCATAGTGGAAGACTCAGAGGGAGTTCCAGGCCCCAAGCTTCGGCCTGCCTTAGCCATGGCCATTGAAGCCATTTGTGAAGGAATCAGCAGATGGAAGATCTCTCTCTGTCTGTCCTGTCTCTCTCTGTAACTCTCAAATATATCTTTTAAATGCAATTTAAAATTTATTTATTTGAAAGGCAGAGTTACAGAGAGGCAAAGCAGAGGCAGAGAGAGAGAGAGGTCCTCCATCTGCTGCCAAGTGGCAGCAACAGCCAGAGCTGGGCACAATCCAAAGCCAGGAGCCAGGCATTCTTCCGGGTCTCCTACTTGGTGCAGGGGCCCAACCTTTGGGCCATCCTCCCCTGCCCTCCCAAGCACATTTGCAGGGAGCTGGATCAGAAGTAGACAGCCCATATGAGATGCCAGCACTATAGACAGCAGCTTAACCCTCTGCAAACACAGTTCTGACCCTGATAGACCATAGTTCATACCATAGCTCTCTCACATTTGAACTGTGTGATATTTTCTGAGTCTATGAACTTCTCTCAGTCTCGGTTTCCTTATATATATAATAGAGGATATAATTCCTACCTCGAGTTTTGGTGGATTAAATGTAGTGGACATGGTTTGTATTTGTCAAATATTAAACCACAGGATGCGTTTTCATTGTATTTATTTTTTGTGAAGCTTTCTATAGTTAAAGTGGTAGAGTTTTTAGAGAAAATGAGCTCTTTATTGTTAAGTGTATATAAGTCCTGTAATTTTTATGAAGGATTTATTTTTATTAGGCTATAATACTTCTAGTAATTTATGGGGCAGACCCAAAGATTTCTGAACTTTAAAAGCAACTCCTATGAATAAATGATGTCATATACAGGGACTGGCATTGTGCAGAGTGGCTAAGCCAACTCCTGCAATTCTAGCATCCCATAAGGAGCACCATTTCAAGTCCTGACTGTTCCACTTCCCATCCAACTCCCTGCTAATGCACCTGGAAAAATCAGTGGAAAGATGGCCAAATCCTTGGGGCCCTTCTACCAATGTGGGAAATCCAGATGAAGCTCCTGTCTCGTTGGCTGTAGCCTGGTCCTGCCCTGGCCAAGTGCGAGGCATTGGGGAGTGAATCAGCAGATGCAAGATATCTCCCCTCTCTCTCTGTCTCTCTCTGTCTCTCTCTCTAACCCTGTCTAGGTAGCATTGCCTTTCAAATAAATAAAGATTTTTTAAAAATCAACACAAATTTTGACTGAGCAATGGAAGTAGCTTTTAAGACCAAATGGACTCACACATTAGTTAACATTCTCCATGAAGCTATATTCAGGTGACTTTCAGTGCTGTAACAATGAAATAAAAGCTTCTAAGTAATGATAGGCTGCAATTGCAAGATAATTCAATGCTTGGGTTCAAATATGCAGTTGGACAATTCATATTTCCTTAAAACATAAAACTTTTCTAAAATTCCATGAAAGTCCTTAAACTTGGGTTAAATAGAAAACCAACCTAATTGAAACAACATAGCTTTAAGTTAGTGCAAGTATAAAATGTAAGTCCACAAAAATTTGTCAGACCTTTTATAAAATATGTTTAAGAATATAGCCTATTTTCAAAGTGCCTAATTTCTATGTAATTTCAACCTGTAGTACAAAGAGTGAAATTATTGCCTCCATGGTTATATCTCTGGTTTAATCCTTCTAATTACATCTTCTTTTGGGAGTTCCACTCAGGGACTACATGGTTTTCACCAAAGATATAAAGCATCCAGACCACCTTTGACTCCCCTGTTTATAACTGAGCCAGATGTGGTTTGTAATCTGATATTTTAAGGAGGAGCTTGTTAATCACATCTTTTTTTAGTTCCCTTTCTCCCTTATGCTAGGTATTTGTAAGCAAGCACAACAAAAAAAAAAAAAGAAGAAGAAGAAGAAAAGAAAAAGACATACACAGATTAGTCATGACCTTAATCATGGAATATTTACTTCTCTGACAAATAACAGTCAGAATCTCAGTGACTTATTATTGAGTAAAAGAAAATTCTGTGGTTTGAATATGGTTTGTTCTCCTAGAGGCTTGGTCCTCAGTGTGGTGATGCGGAGGTGGTGGAACCTTTCAAGATGGGGCCTAGTGGAAGGTGATTAGATCACTGGGGTGTTTCCTTCAGAAGGGATTCATGTAGTTATCTCAGCCCCCTTAAGAGGGAGTTATAAGAGAGCTTGACCTACTCTTCATTCTCTGGCTTTGATCCCGCTCATCCATGTTCTCACCATGATGCCATTACAATG